CATGCCTGCCCCAAGCCCTGAGGCCCACAAGTCCCAGAGAAGAGTGGGAAAGAAAGCTGGGTGGTTGCAGCTCAGCTCCAAGAGTTCAGGGAGGAAAAAACAGGGGCTAGTTGAATTTAGCCTTGCAAAAATACATCTCTGGATGCTGACCAATGAACTGCTTCAGAATCTCCTGTTTCTTCTGTTCGTCTGAGGTTTGCAGCCCCATGGACTTCTGTCTCTGGTCATACATCATCCTTTCCACCATGCTGCGAGTCTCACTGTCCAGGTCTGACAGCTTGGAATTCTCAGGGTTAATATTCTTGGTATTGATCTCAAGGTCACTGGACACCAAGCGGCTCCACCACTCCGTCTTATTGATCTTCTCCAGATGCAGAGTCACCACCTTGCCGTCCTCAATGAGCCACGAGCTTTCCTCCACCTTCACTTCATTGTAGAGCTCCCCATAGATGATCGCTGGCTGCCCCTTGAGCCCCATCCGGAGGTGCCACTGCAGCATGTCTACCACCACGTCCTTCCCTTTCAGCCGGAAGTTCACACGGAAAGGGACTGCCAGGTCCAGCTCCGACAGCGTCTGGGTCCAGCGGTAATTGGGCAGGTCTGCCCCGTTGCCTAGGTTGGGCTTCAGTTTTCCTTTCTCCTTCTCTCTTCCTCCTCCTCATCTTCCTCAGTCTCCTGCTTTCCTGGGGGAGTCAAGGCTGCCATTCTTGAGCTGGGCCTCATGATTCTCTGCATCCTTTTTCTGGTCAATCTCTAGCTGCAGCCTCTCTGTGTCTTGTCAGTTAGCTCCTTGATCTGGGGCCCTGAGGTCTCTGACTTAAACCAAGTGATTTTTGATATCTATCCTAATTCAAAGTTTGGATATACCACTAATGTATTTCAAACATACCTAGCAAATTACACTAGTAAAATACAACCTCAATGTTTTAAGCATTCTTTGTAATGAAGTTTATATAGCTAAAGTATTTAATGAAAACACTGAAATATGTTAGGATTACTATACTGACCGTGTAGTAATTTCTTTGAGTAGTGTTGATACTTCCACTTCATGTTTGGTTACTATACCAAACGAAGCTTTCACTGCAATGGAATCTGATCCAGCAACATTAATCCCAACGTCATTTACAATATGGTTCCCTCGCCTTCCATAGAGTGAAACATCGGATTCATCTTCATAATTCAGTAATTGATAAGATGAAATACCTTTACAAGAAGAAATGTAGTATTTTTAAAATGTCTTTAATTTATCTTATGTAGATTATATACAGTAACACGTTCATTTACAATTGAAGACTCAATTACCCAAATGTTAGAGAAAGGCAACATTACTCACCAAGATTTAAAGTAGTAATTCAATTAATCTTACAACAAAAAGAAACACATAGCCAGAATTCTTAAAAGGAACTCAAATTTTCTATTCAGCCAACAGAACTTCTTAAGCATCAAGATCCACTGGGCAATTCAAAGAAAAAATAAGCGTTTATAAGCAGTAACTCATTAAAATATCAGCTTATTAAATAACCTACCCTTCAAATACATTTCAGTTTACCAATTGTAATAATTGCATTGTAAAAAATAAATACAAATTACTTTCATCTCATTTGACCATATAAGATAGGTAAGCCCAAATAATACCCCATTTTATAGATGAAGAAATATGTCATAGTCTAAGTTGATCTGATTAAAACAATTTATAAAATAATTGATAGATTTGAAAATTATTTGACCAATAAGAGATCTGATATTATACAAACTTTTGGCATTGTTAATCTTAATAACATTATTATACTACCATCATAATAAAAGTTGCTTTAATCATTGAAAATGTGTATTACTAATGTAAGTAGCATATATGACCTATGTTTAGGTTACCAATAATATAGACGAATGAGTTGGCACTCCCAAACATTTAAACTTACCAGCTGAAATTTCTCTGTCTCCTAGGAGAATATCTTTCAGTGTAAAAGGTGTTGAAGTAAATTTATATCTAGGAAACAGAAAGCATCGCTTCTTTTTTACCACCAGACTTAGAGGTTGATATTTGTCAGCTTCACTGAGGCTTGGAACAGGAACTAATCTCCCTCCATCTCCAACTTGCTTGACAAAGCTCTTGGTAGCAGCAGCAAACATATTAAAATCAAAATGTCATCAACTGCAACCCCCAGATAAATCCATTTTTAAAGACGAAAATCAGGCACAAAATTAAGCATTGCTTGTTTTTAAATATAATTATACATCTTAAAAATACAAAGCATGGTTTCACCAAGTAGTTTACCACTGTATAATTCACTGCCTCCGCTCATGTGCTCAGGTAATGAATTATAGATCAACGATGTAAAACGATATGCTAAGAGCATGTTTAATTTGGAATGGCAGGCTATAGCACTAAAATATACACAGAAAACTAATAACATAAAAATATGACCAATGTCTATGATAAGGATCACAGTAGATAGCGATTTGCCACTGGCAATGGGCCAATTTTAAGGGAAGTATATAGCGCTGTGGGAAGCAATGCAATTTAGGCACTAACAATAGTCCCGGATACAATCCACAGTGGACCTAGTCCAAAGGGAATTCCTTCACAAGTCCACACTGGAATTTTGGCAACACGAAAGTGCTGTTTTGAATCCTCATGGCATACAGTTCATTGATAGAGCATTTCATTCATTTTCCATCTTACATGTTTACAAAACTGTGTTTAATATTAAATATGAATTCACAGATATAAACAATTACATGCAGATCTTTATAAAAAAATAAAGCCACATTACATGTAAGTAACTATATAAACCATTACCTAGTGGTTTCTTACTCTGAAGTTGGACACACAGACTCTATCCCTTTGAAATGGAGTCCTGCTGCATCTTTTTGTTTCATTATTATCCCAGCTACTGGGATAGTAATAAGAGCTATCTATATAAAGTTCTGGCCTGTTTTTAAGTGATTTTGTGGCTAAAAATGAACTTTACCTGAGTGCTGAAATGTTTTGGCATGGGTGTTATGCGGAGTTCATATATTTTGAAATAGTGACTATGTAGCCCTTCCAATAAGATATCCATTAAAACAGTGATGGATAGTAATCTATATACATACATATATAGATGGAGAAGAAGAGAGAATAGGCTCTAATTAAAGCATCAAATGATATAATTTGATTAGATTCGGAACATCTTTCACTTGCTTTCAAGCATTCAGGGCTCACATGCTAACAAAATAACAAACCACTTATTATTTTTTTTTTTTTGAGATGGAGTCTGACTCTGTCGCCCAGGCTGGAGCGAAGTGGCGCTATCTCGGCTCACTGCAACATCCACCTCCCGGGTTCAAGCGATTCTCCTGCCTCAGCCTCCCGAGTAGCTGGAATTACAGGCGCATGCCATCACGCCCGGCTAATTTTTGTATTTTTAATAGAGACAGGGTTTCACCATGTTGTCCAGGCTGGTCTCGAACTCCTGAGCTCAGGCGATCCGCCCGCCTCGGCCTCCCGAAGTGCTGGGAATACAGGCGTGAGCCACCGCGCCCGGCCATAAATCACTTTTAATAATATCCTTTCGTACGAAGAGCATCGTGCAAAGCAATCTTCCATAACACCGCGTAAGCACAGGACGGCATTTCAGCTAGTGCCTAGCAAGCCCCTGGAGAAGCGACACGACATCCAATGGCCCACCAAAGGTGCTGCATCCCAGGCAAACGCCATTACAACCGACTACACAGGTCCCCAGAAAGGCCTTCGTTTACTCCTAACGTTTTGCTGGGATGCACTGACCCAGCGTTCCGTCTCGCGACGAAAGCCCAGAAGACAAAGGAGCCCGCCTGGCGGGAAAGGAGGGGGTGTTTGGACGTCCCCGCGTGTTCCTAAACACCGGGCTCGGGGACCCGAAGAGCCCACCGCAGCCCCCTGGAGCGTATATATCCGGGGTCTCAAGCTTCAGAACCAGGCCCGGGAGACTCCCTGGAATTCTGCCTTCCGAATTTTCAAATCTTTTTCTTAAAGTGACACAGCCCCCAATCCGTCCTCCCCTCAAAGGGTTAACTTCAGGCCTCAACGACCCTAGACCCACGCCGGACAATCCCTCTAATCCCTCTCTCCGGGAAAGAAACGGCCTCCTCCTAAGGACAAAGAACTACGGCCTGAGGGCCAGTTACTGCAGGCTGGTCAGGGCCGGCAGAGGCGGCCGCTCAGAACCCCGGGAGCCCAATGCCTGTGCCCAGGCGGGAGCGGGGCGGAGACGGGCGGGAAGGAGGCGGACCCTGGAGGGGACAGAGGCGGGGCTGGGCCGGGACCGAGGCCCGCGGAGGGGCAGCGAGGGGGCGTAGCCGGAGCTACGGCACCAAGGCTCCGCCCCCGCCCTTCCCGCCCCCTCGCTAGAGGAACGCAAGCAGGAGGAGGGGGAGTCGGAGGCGGCGGCGGCGCTGGAGCTCCTCCTGGGGACCAGCGACCCGGGGAGCTAGCACGTCGCTCCGCACCGCTCTTCCTCCAACCGCTGAACCGTCCCTTCTCGCCATGTCCCAGAGCAGGCACCGCGCCGAGGCCCCGCCGCTGGAGCGCGAGGACAGTGGGACCTTCAGGTCAGCGTGCGGGCAGTCGGGGCCCCAGGGCCGGGAGCGTTGGGCGGCGAGACCGGGGCGCGGGGAGCCGGCCCTCCAGAGGCATTCTGGGTAAAGCCCTGCCTGGCGCCCACGCCTCCGCGGCTGTGGGCGCTCGGCCCCGCCCTCTCGGTTGCGAGGGTTGGGGTCTGCGGCCGGGCCCCGCCCCTCTCGTGGCCCCAGGCGGCGCGCTGGGCGATGGAGGTGGCGCGCGGTCGCCGCGCCGGGGAAGAGATCGTCAGGTTTGTCCTGAGAGGCTGCGGCGCTGCTACCAGCCCTGTTCTGTTGAGACTGTCTCCTACCCGCATTCAAGTTCTCTCTCTAAAGACCTCGCTCACCCCGCCTGCCCCTGCGGGGTGACTGCCGCAGCGGGGCCGGAAGACAGGTGCGCCCCAGCCTCTCCAGCTCTGGCCCTGGCCTCCGGGGAACTCCGCGCCTCCCTCGTCACCGTCGGTGGCGGTCAAAACTGGCCTCTGTACGCTTCTGCTTCAGTCTCCAATTTGGCATGCAAAGCACACCTTTTTCTGGTTTTTGCAGTTTGGGGAAGATGATAACAGCTAAGCCAGGGAAAACACCGATTCAGGTATTACACGAATACGGCATGAAGACCAAGAACATCCCAGTTTATGAATGTGAAAGATCTGATGTGCAAATACATGTGCCCACATTCACCTTCAGAGTAACCGTTGGTGACATAACCTGCACAGGTCTGTATACACAGTTAACCTGGATGACCGAGTGGGTTGGCAGTCAATACTTGGTGTTGCTTTTCAGTTCGGAAAAGTGCTCTTTTTGCCAGACAGCTGTGAGGAACAGGTTCTGAAACTGAGACCTTTCATCTCAGATCGTTAGGGCTTTTCAGCTTCATCTGATTCTCTTCCTAATTTTCTCTTCCCCAGATACCAAAGAAGCTCAGAAACTAAAAAGTTACCCAGCCATCCTGCACGACTCTTTTCATACCCCATGATCCTCCTAGGGTTCTTCTAAGAATTAAAGGGAAGCAGGAAAGGTTCTTGGAGCAATCATAGCTGGGTCCCTAGGTACTGTGAAGTTTCATAGATTATAGCAGATACCAGCAGGCATGACCCCAGAATTTTCTGCGCGTCTCTCCTCTCTTTATGGACTCATTTGGCACTTTAGGTCCATTGTACCACTTTTGATTCTGTATCCAAACAAAATGAGGAAGGGGAGAAGGTCCTCATACATTATATTGCATAATAACTTCTAGTTTTTGAAACGTAACAGATATTTTGTATATTATCTACTTTTTAAACAAGAAGAAACAGGTTCAGAGAGATAAGTAACATGCCTGTAGCAGTGAAGTCACATAGCAATGAAATTTTAAAGTTCATGCTTTCTTTTGGTCTGTGAGCTTGAGCAAATGATAACTAAAGTTGCTTATTTGTAAATGTGGACATTATTTTTCTTATGTATCTATTTAATTGCAAACACAAAACATTGGATGCTAAATTTAATTTGGAAGGATGCCAAGAAAAAAATTTAGTAGGAAGGCTCAAGTTCTGCCATCTGGTAAATCTGACGGCAGCATTTGTTTGTGTCCCTGGAAGTTTGGAGTCCTTTATTTTAATTGACGCCACTTTAAGAAAAGTTTAAAACTTTTTGTGTGAGGCAGTTAGATTGTAGGTGCTGGCCGGAAGGGTCCCCATGGGAACCATAGAGTCAACACTGCATTACTTACTTTAGCTAGTCTATTTCTAGATAATCAGGAAGAATTCAAGAAAAAGGAGGCTTTTTCCCTCTCGATGTGTTTTAGACCCCAAATTAACAACCTATGGCAACCGTTCTGCCTACGCCGTCTTCTCACACTACCATGGCTTCCTGTGCAAGCTTATCTGCCTCCATGGCTTCCGATACTATCTAAAGGCTAATAATTCTGAAATGTCTGTCTACATCCCAAGCCCAGTTACAGAATAGTGTATCAGTCTATGCTTGCTGAGCATCTTTGCTTGGATGACACAGAGGCCCCTCAAGCCTCTCATTGTCCCTAACTGAATCCATCTTTTCCCTCAAACCCATTCTTCCTGCATTCCCTTTCTCTGTAAAGGCTCCACAATCACCTAGTTCAGTAGAAATGTGGGTTTTGTCTTCCTAACTACTTCCTCTCTCCCTCCCTCTTGTCCAGTCTGTTATTAAACTCCATCCGTTGGAGTTTAATAATCCACTAAATAGCCACTGAATCTGTCTGCTTCTCTCTCCTGGCCATTGCCACTGCCTAGGCGACCATCATCTCTCACTTGGATTGTAGCTGCATTCTTGTAGCTACATGTTTACCTTCTAGTCTTGTGATGTCCTTTTGTCACGTGACATCCAGTGTTCATTCTTTTTTTTTTTTTTTTTTAGACGGTCCATTCTGTCGAGGAGTACAGTGGCATGATCATAGCTCACTGCAGCCTCAATCTCCTGGACTGGAGCAATCCTCCTGCCTCAGCCTCCTGAGTAGCTGGGACTACAGGTGCACACCAGCATGCCCAGCTAATTTTTCTGATTTTTAATAGAGACAAGGTCTCACTGCATTGCCTAGGCTGGTCTTGAACTCTTGGCGTCAATCTTCCCACCTCAGCCTCTTAAAGTGTTGGGATTACAGGCGTGAGCCACCTCACCCACCCCTTAACAACCAGTATTCTTTCTAGCATTCATATGTCTTCCTTTTCTCAAAATCCATTCAGTGGTTTCCCTGTAACCCTCTGGATAAACACATGTTTTTTGTTTGTTTGTTTCCGAGACAGAGTTCCACTCTTACACCCAGGCTTGAATGAAGTGGCACAATCTCGGCTCACTGCAACCTCTGCCCCCTGGGTTCAAGCGATTCTCCTGGCTCAGCTTCCTGAATAGCTGGGATCACAGGTGCCTGCTACCACGCCCGGCTAATTTTTGTATTTGTAGTAGAGATGGGGTTTCGCCATGTTGGCCAGGCTAGTCTCGAACTCCTGACCTTAGGCGATCCACCCGCCTCAGCCTCCCAAAGGGCTAGGATTATAGGTGTGAGCCACTGAGCCCAGCACAATACCATGTTTCTTAACATGACTTACAGCCTTGCTTCTTACACTTTAAAAAAGCTCTTACACTGCCGGGCGCGGTGGCTCAAGCCTGTAATCCCAGCACTTTGGGAGGCCGAGACGAGCGGATCACGAGGTCAGGAGATCGAGACCATCCTGGCTAACCTAGTGAAACCCCGTCTCTACTGAAAAAAAAAAAAAAAAAAAAAAAAAAAAAAAAAGCTCTTACACTTTGGCCAAAGCCAACTACTTGGAATTCTTGAGAACACTGTGCTGTATGTTGCCTTTGAGCCTTTGCCGGTGCTCTTTTTCTCTGCCTAGAATGCTCTTCCTACTCCCCCATCTCTCTTCACTTTATTAGCTGTTACTCATCATTTAGGTCTCCATTTAGTTATCTCTTCCTTCATGAAGCCTTTCTGAATCCTTACAAAGAGTCGGAGAACCGCTGCTTTTATGTGCTCCCCTACAGCCTGCACTTAGGCTTGTTGTAACATATCCCATTCCATATTTCAGGTGCCTATTAACAGACAAAAATCCCACACCAGGCTGTTGGCTCTTGAGGGCAGGGCCCCTGTATGCTATATCCCTAATACCTCTGTTAGCAGATAAATATGTGGTTTGTGTATCTTCTCACACTTGAGGGCCACACTTAAAACTTATCCCATGAGGGTATGGGAGTTTGAACTTAAAAGGAAAAAGATTGAATTTATCATTTGCCATTGCGATTGCTTACTGAAATTAGACATCAGTCTTATCCCCGGTCCCAACTTAGCTACCCATGCAGAAGATACAGACTGTCCAGAAGATACATAACAAGCTGTCACCTTACTTCATAAAACACTTTCCTGTTGTACCCAACACATAATCATGACTGCTAAGCCTAGCAGAGCAGTTTGATACATTATAGGACAGGCTATTCGAATAAAATTATGCACATTTTGCTATCAAACAATTCTGCTGTAAATGGTTCCTTTAGAAGAAACTTCTTGCTGCAGAAGAATTTCCCCTCCAGGAATAAAGGAAGAGTAAAATACTAAGCTGCATTTCTTCAGAGGTGTGACATGGTCTACTTTATTACCCTGTTATGTAATAAACATATATAATGTAGAAATAAGGATTTTTATGCAGGTATGCATAGAATTAAATATATAGAACTTTAAAAGTTATTTTTTGAAGTATTTTTCACCTGGTGAGTATTTTATTAGTGTGTAACCACATGTAGTGTATATTTTTATTACCTAGTATGTGTATGTAAAATCTATAGTGACTTTGTTTTGTGTTTTGAAAACATCTCTGTAAGCTGCACATTTTTGTAGGGGATAAAGACTTCTTTTTTTAAATCTTAATTCAGGTGAAGGTACAAGTAAGAAGCTGGCGAAACATAGAGCTGCAGAGGCTGCCATAAACATTTTGAAAGCCAATGCAAGTATTTGGTGAGCTAAATTTCTTTGTATTCAGCAGCTCAAAAATTTCATGGCTGAGGTAAGATTAAAAATTTCAACATGCTTACAAAAGCAACAAAGTGAACAGTTGTTAGCATCCTACCTCTCTAATTATATTTCCTTATGAAGACTTATCCATGGAAGAAAACTTTATTGAATCAAATCCAGCAGTTAGCTGTTAAATGAAGGCGCTCATGAATTAGGCTTTACTGTTTTTTTTTTTTTTACGTGGGGTGCAACAGTAGAAAATCAGTGCTTCTTGCAAATATTAATATTAACATTTTGTATTTAGACTTTGATTATTTCTGCATTGAAGACAACAAAGTGTGAGATGGAGAAAGATCCACTAAAAGTACTCTTTTAGGAATTATAATTTTGAAGAAGCAGGCAGAGGTTTTCTTTTATTATATAATATATACCAAAAGAAGATAATGTTAAGTGGGATATTCTTGACATATCTTTCCAAAGTAAGATTTTTTACTACTCTAGGTGTTTCTGGATAGAATATTGGTCCTGGAGCATCTCACATATTATAGTAGTGTCCACTGGGCGTACTCTGGAGCTTGGCATACTTTCAAATTCTTCTTGTGCATGCACTCACATTAGCCTGAAGTACGATCTGGTGTAATCTGCTTATAGCCGACAGTAGAAACCCAGGGAATTTGGGATGGGTTTTTTGTTCCTAGTCATAGAAAGGCTTTTGGATTAGGGGTGTAGTTAGGTTCTCATGTAGTATTCCTCTCTTTTTGTAAATCATTCTAAACCGTTTGGGTAGTTAAGAACTAACCAGTGACACGGCAACCCTCTAGATAAGCAGCTGCCCAAGATAAGCCTTGCATTTCACAAGATGATGCTTCATTCTCTAGGGTCATGCATTATAATTGATCTATGCCAGGCTGGGCGGGGTGGCTCACGCCTGTAATCCCAGCACTTTGGGAGGCTGAGGTGGGTGGATCACTTGAGGCCAGGAGTTCAAGACCAGCCTGGCCAACATGGCAAAACCCATCTCTACTAAAAATACAAAAATTAGCCAGGCATGGTGGCAGGCGCCTGTAATCCCAGCTACTTGGATGGCTGAGACACAAGAATCGCTTGAACCTGGGAGGCAGAGATTGCAGTAAGCCGAGATTGCGCCACTGAACTCGAGCCTGTGAAACCCAGTCTCAAAGAAAAGGCCAGGCGTGGTGTCTCACATCTGTAATCCTGGCACTTTGTAAGGCCAAGGTGGGCAGATCACTTGAGTCAGGTTTTCGAGACCAGCCTGGCCAACATGGTGAAACTCCATCTCTACTAAAAATACAAAAAATTAACCAAGTGTGGTGGCATGCTCCTGTAAGCCCAGCTACTTGGGAGGCTGAGACACAAGAATCCCTTGAACCCAGTAGGCAGAGGTTGCAGTGAGCTGAGATCGCATCATTGCACTCCAGCCTGGGCAACAGAGCAAGACTCTGTCTCCAAACAAACAAAAGACATGCCAAATGACATGGCAGGTATTGGGTTCTCCCCCACTGGTGATGGCCATGCTGTTTCTGTACAGCCTGAAGGTGAACCCAACCAGTAAGTACACTTGTAGAAATGAGGGGTATGGAGTGTCCTTTCTGCACCTGGGCACTTCACTTTGTCAGCAAAAAAAGCTAACAAACTTTACTATATTTGTGCTTCTTGACAGATAAAATGGGAATTACTAAGCTGTAATCAGGCCTAAAGTGGCCTGACTTAATACAGAGACTTTCTCACTTCTCCATCACAATTATTTGGGTAGCTTCGGCATGCAGCATTGTAAGTGAATACTCATATCTCATCAGCCTATGTAAAGCTTGAAGTTCTCGCAGTTGGAGGAAAAAAAAAAAAAAAACCTTGAGGAAGTGGCAATAACTAAACCTCACTTGTCATGGAAAAATGACTCCAGTTGCCTAGGTGGTAGTAACCTTGAAATGCCGCTTATTCAGTTTTAAGCACTGACCTGCCAAGTAACTAGTAATTCCCAACTCCCTAGAAGAGGTCGTTCTCTTTTTCCCTAATCATAATCCCCACATGCTAAAACCAAATTCATCTAAGCCATCTATTTTATGCAGGATACATGTACATCTTAGAGGATTATCCCAGCACTGAGCAGATGATAGATCAAACAGATCTCTCTTCATAGTTCTCTGGATGAAAAAACAATGTTTATAAATAATCTGTATTGTTCACATTGCCAGGTTCAATTTTCTGGATCATTGTTACTCTTCTATTTTTTGCATAGTTGTAACAGAGTATTCTTCAAATATTTTTTTATGACATGCCTATTGCGTACAAAACGCCACAAAGCTTATGTAGGTAAGTGATACATAGGCCCTACCTCGAGCTTATAGTCTGAATAGGGGAGAGGTATGGTGAAGGATGGACAAATTATATGTATTTGTAAGAGTATATAATTTATGGTAAAACAATTTCCTCAAGAAAGGATTAAACCATGTGTTATAATGTTTCAAAGAAGGGAGAGATTATAAACCACTGGGGTAAAAGGATAGGCTTCTTGGAGAAAGTGTCATTTGAGATATATCTTGGATGACAGATAGATCAGATTCCCATAGAAGAGGCCTGAGAAAAGGGCATTCCATGTAGAAGGAATGACAAGAGCAAAGACATAGAGAGTTAATTAGAAAATGCTTGTCATTTATTTCATAATTTGGGGGAAATTATTTTGTTTTATAACACTTTTAAAAAATATTTAGCTTTGCAGTTCCTGATCCCTTAATGCCTGACCCTTCCAAGCAACCAAAGAACCAGCTTAATCCTATTGGTTCATTACAGGTAAGTTGTACAGTTCTTTGCCTACTGATGAAATATATAATAAGTTTGTAATATCAGAGGGGCTAACACAAGGAATTAATATTTTAAAGACAAGATAGTGATATATTTTGTTTTCCAACTTACGATCATTAGATTTATAGAGCTAACTTGAAATTATTCCATATACAGTATTTGCCTTTGGCTTATAGAATTCTCATTTAAGATCAATAGGCCCTCAGTGCACATGGGTAGAGTATTTTATACTTTAAGAATAGTTCTTGCTACTCTTGTGACAAATCTCTTTCTACTTCTGTTGAGACAGAAGACTTTATAAAGAGCCTAAATCAAATCAGTGAACCTAACTCAAGAAAAGGAGTCTGCTTATTTGCTTATTCTACCAAAAAAAAAAAAAATTTATATCTACACACACTCACACATGCACACATATTCAGCTTTGAATTTCTATATGCAGAATATCCTTGCAGACTATTCATGTGCTCTGTTAGGCCATTCCCCTCCCCATTATTCAGCCAGTCCTTTGGTCTCCTTTTCCAGCACTATGAGCTTTTCTATAGTTTTCTTCACCTTCTGTCCCCCACCTCATCCAAGTCTGTTGTTTGCTGTCCCTACTCATGTGTTCTTGGCCAGCTGTGGGTTTGGAAGTCTATAGCTAGGAGGGGAGGGACTTTAGGAACTGATGGCAGTGAAACCTGTAGATGGTCTCCTCTGGTGTTCCCAAAGAGGGCAGTAGTAGCCTGTTTTTCTAGTTGAAGTCTCATACCAGCTCACTATGGTTTAATTCAAGAACACCATTCATAGCAGAAAACTGATTCAGTTTTGGTATTGGGATATAAAGATATAAAATGCAGGAATGTCTCTGAGAAATAGAGGGTCTTCCCTCTTTTTTCTGTTGCAGAAAATCACTATTCTTTTCAAACATATACATAGAAATGGGATCAAAATTAAGAAAATACTTATGTGATTGAGCCATTGCATAAAATTACTATTAAAGCCTCATCTTGATTTTATAGGAATTGGCTATTCATCATGGCTGGAGACTTCCTGAATATACCCTTTCCCAGGAGGGAGGACCTGCTCATAAGAGAGAATATACCACAATTTGCAGGCTAGAGTCATTTATGGAAACTGGTACTTATTTCTTACAATTAAAGGCATTTGAAATATTTTCAGATGATGAATGACTATAGAAATTTCTGTCGTAATGTTTTCCAGTATTTCTATGCAGAAAAGTTGATACATTCCTCTTTTATAGTCTCTGACTTTCTGAGGCTGAACTTAAGTATAAATATTTGGCTTAAGATACTTAGTCTTAATTTGATATTTTTAAAAATCAGAGATTATTAATAGAAACTATTGGCTCTGTACTTTAAACAGTCTTCATTGATAAATTAGTGACTTAAAAAAAACTCATTTTGGAGACAAAGCTATAGTAAATCTCTTGGATTTTATTTAACAGCTATTCTATCTAGAAAATAGGACTAGAGGAAGATTACCCTTGAACATGATATGATTAATAAGAGACTAGATGGCAAATAATTGCAGTGAGATAAAAATGAAAATTATCTTTCTTAATTGTAGCAACTCCTATGTTATAAAGGATATAAACTGTAAGAAACACTGTCACTTTAGAAAGTACTAGTGAGAATTCCTGTTAACTTCTCTGGCATGTTTTTGTCATTTTTTAAAGTGGCTTAAAATGGGATTTTACCTTAACTAGATAATAGTTTCAAGTAATAAGAAACTGTGTGCCTTTGGGAGGTAGTGTGGGCTATTACAGAAAGCACCAGGTCAAAAGCAGGAACCTCAACTTCCATTTTTGATGCAGTCTTTGATTTGCAAAGTTAAGCAAATTACTTAATCTCTCTGGACCTCAGTTTTTTAATCTATAAAACAAAAACATGGAGATAGATATTTGTGGTATCTTTCAACTCCAGCATCCCCTGTGCCTTTCTTATTCCTGTTTAAAGGAATTCCATATAATTGTCAGTTTAGAGAAGATCACAAGCAGGAAATAGACATTGAGAGAGAGGAGTTATAATTCAGATGTATTTTAATAAATAAGAATAATTGGTCAGAATTAAACCAAATGTGGTTCAGTAATGCTAGACATAGGAAAATACAATTATTATAGAAAAACAGAAAGCATAACTATTAAAAACTTAAAACAAATGCCTTCAAAAGTGTAAGAATTAGTAACTATACAGGCCAGGCACAGTGGCTCACACCTATAATCCCAGCCCTTTGGGAGGCTGAGGTGGGCCGATCGTCTGAGGTCAGGAGTTTGAGACCAGCCTGGCCAACATGGCAGAACCCTGTCTGTGCTAAATATAAAAAATTAGCCAGGTGTGGTGGCAGGCACCTGTAATCCCAGCTACTTGGAGGGGCTGAAGCAGGAGAATTGCTTGAACCCAGGAGGCGGAGGTTGCAGTGAGCCAAGATTGCACCACTGCACTTCAGCCTGGGCGACAGAGCAAGACTCCATCTCAAAAAAAAAAAAAAAGAATTAATAGCTATACAAAAGAAATAACACAACAAACAAAGATACCAGGTCAGTAAGAACATAGTCTAGCATATAATAAAAACCATGAGGTTCTCTGATTAAATACAATACTTTATACAGTTTGATCATCCTCTGTGGACACTAATTTCTTTTCTAAATCTACCATTTCTTTTTCTTTGTTCAGGAAAGGGGGCATCAAAAAAGCAAGCCAAAAGGAATGCTGCTGAGAAATTTCTTGCCAAATTTAGTAATATTTCTCCAGAGAACCACATTTCTTTAGTGAGTAATGTTGACAGCTACGATGTTAATGTCATTAAGCATTTCTTGCTGTAGGAAACTTTCCTTGATTTCTTATTGTGTGGCTACTTCAGAGTTGTGATTTTTAGAAATCTCTTCATTATTCAGTTATACACTACCCCATTTTTAGCTGCTTCCTGTTTGTGAGTCAGGATCACAAAGGCAATTAGGTAAGAGAGCTTGGGAGACACAGTCAAATTCAAAATAATAGGATGGGATGTAAAGATAATAGGCCAGTAGTACCATTTTTGCCTTCAAAGTGACAGCGCATTTCCATCCCTTTGTTCATTCATTCACTCAGCAAACATTTAGGGAGCTCATACTATGTGCTAATTGTTGCGTTGGGTACTGGGTTGCAGTGGATAAGCAGTCCCTGCCTCTAAGGAGTTTATAGACTACTGAAAGAGAGGAAGGAACTCTATAGACGAGTCCTTCAGAGTGTGATGTGGGAACACAGAAGAAAGCATCCAACCAAAACAGGTTTGGAGACAGATTCCAGGAAGAAGTAATGTCTAAGCCAAGACCTGTAGGTCTAGAATGGGGGAAAGGAATTCCAGAGAGAAGAAAAAGCGTGTGCAAAGGCCAGGAGTGAAACATCGTATGCGGTCTAGGAGCCCTAAGTGATTTGTTGTGTGTAGGGCATAGTGTTGGAGGAAGGGAGTCTCAATGAAGCCAGCAAAGTAAGGAGGGATTAAATCTTAAAGGGACCCCTATATAAAGAAAGTGAACTTTATCCCAAGGGTAGTACAAAGTCATTAAAGAATTTTAATCTGGGAAGGACAGGATCTAGTCTAAACATTAGAAGGAAATCACTTGGCTGCATTATGGTGAGTGAGTGAAATTAGGATCAAAGAGACCTGCAAGAGTGCTGTTATAGAAGACACATGAGACATGACAGCTTGAACTAAGGTAGTGGCTGGGAAAATGGAGAGAGATGGGTAGATTTTAAAGTTATTTAGAAAACGGAGGTAAAGTGGCATGGTAATTGATTGGATGTAGGAAGCAAGGGAAAGGGAGGAAATTACTATTTTAAGCTTGGCAATAGCAAGAGGGGAGCAGATAATGAACTAAATGTATTGAATTTGAAGTGCTTGTAGAATAGCTTATGGAATAGCTAAGTGAATGTATCGAGTAGCTGAACAAATAAATACAGAGCTTAAGAGATTGAGACCTACACACGATATATAACTTCAGATTCTGATATTCATAGATAGGTGTTGTCGTGTAATACATTATCTGAGAGTAGTGTATTAGGTGGGAAATAAAAAAGTACAACTATAGCAACTTCTTCACTGAGCTTATGATAAAATAAGGCCTCATTCTTTAGAAAAAAAATCAAAGACTATATACAAATGAGTAATATAATTTGATTCTACTTTTTTAATAGAAAAATTAACACCACATTTACTGCTTTTGGAATTTGGATCAACAATATCACCAAAATTACAAAGCACAGATAGGTTTACAGGTGAAATTGGTCAAATCTTCAAAGAAGAGATCATTTCCAATGCTATTTAAACTCTTTTCAGGCAATGTATAGATAACATAAAGGAAACTTTTAAATTTATTCTCCAAAACCAACATAATACAAACACCAAAACCTGACAATAGTAAGTTCAACAGAAAAAAAAATTATAGATCAATATGCCTTATGGTAAAATGGTAAAACCTTTGTAAAATGTTCAGTTCAACATCAAAATAATAATAAAACATTGACAAGTAGGGTTTATTTAACTAATGCAAGACTATTTCAAGGTTAGTAAGTTGGTTACTTTAACCACATTAATGTGTTAAAGAGTAATATATAATCTCAATGGATGACAAAAATTTTTGATAAAACTCAGCAATCATTACTGATAAAAACTTTGAAAAAAACGAAAATCATGGTTAAATATTTACACATTGTACTTATTCCCATTAATATCAGAAATAAGGATGCCCACCAACACCACTTTTATTTAACTTTGTTCTAGAAGTACCTACCAATTAAAAACAAATTAGACAAGAGAAAACAGGAAGAAGTTGGAAATAAGAGAAGATAAAATGGTTACTAACTGCAAATGATATGATTGTATCCCTTTAAAACCCTAAAGAAAAACTACTAGAAATAATAAGAGAATTCATCAAGGTAACTGATTATGAAATTAATATACAAAATCAATAGCTTTTCCATATTACTTAGAGTTATGTAGGTAACAACTAGAATAATTAAAAATAAAAAGCTAAAAATTATTGTATCTGGGAAGGGGACTGAAAGTGGAGAAGGGGCAAGGCAGAGGTTGTTGCTTTTATACTTCTGTACTATTTGATTTTTTGCTGTATGTGTATATCCACTTTGACAAAACTTACGAAGCTTGGTAACATTGGACATTTTATAGAAAAATAGAAAATCTATCCTATTCTGAAAAAATATACTAGAAAAAAGTCAATAGTTTTCTTTACAAATAATAACTAGAATATAGAAGATCTCAATTTAAATTGTAGAAACAGGGATAGGATATCTGAAAATAAACTTAAAAAGAAATGCGCAGGACCATGTGAGGAAAACTCTACTAAAGAATAGAGCAGAAAATATTGTAAATATATTTAACTGTAATGTGGTCTCACTCAAAACCTACCAGCGTTCATTTTGGACCTTCATACACCTTTATTGAAGTTTATCTGGAAAAAAACCCTCAAGAATAACCAAGAAAACTGAAAAGGAAGGGTTGGGAGAGCAAGAGTGTGCTGCTTTACCAGAGAACAAAACATACTGTAAAACTGTACTTGTCAGACAAGGTACTGGGCCAGGAATAGTCAGAGGAACAAACAGAGAATCCAGGTGTAGATGCTAATCCACATAGGGCCATAGTATATGGCAACAGTGAGATTTCAGATCAGTGGGTGAGAGGATGGATTATTCAATAATGATGTAGAAACGGTTTACATCCACTTTTAGGTGGGGGCTGTATATATATTTGTTTATGAGTATGACATCTACTTAGGATGCTTCCTTATTCCTTACACCAAAATAAATTTCAGCTGGATCAAAGATTTGAACATAAAAATTTAAAACAGTATAAGTATTAGGAAACATGGAAGAGTTTTTCTTTTTAAAAATCTTAGCATGGGGAAAGCATTTTAACTTAAAACCTAGATGGTTAAAAGATTAATAAATTTGGCAACATAAAACCTACTGCACAGCAAAAAATCTGTAAATCAAGAGAATAAAAACAAAGTGGGAAGAAATTATTTTCAACATATAACTATAAAGGAACTGTTTTCAGTACCAACTTTAAAGCTCTTTTATACACATCTGCACACAGCAGCACATGTCTGTAGTCCCAGCTACTGGGGAGGCTAAGGTGGGAGGATTGCTAGAGCCCAAGAGTTTGAGAGTTAAGCCACATAGCAAGACCCTAACTCTTAAAAACTAGAAAATTTAAAAAGCTCTTATGCATCAGTTAAAAAGACAACCCAGCCGGGCGCGGTGGCTCACGCCTGTAATCCCAGCACTTTGGGAAGCTAAGGCGGGTGGATCACAAGGTCAGGAGATCGAGACCATCCTGGCTAATATGGTGAAACCCCGTCTCTACTAAAAATACAAAAAATTAGCCGGGCATGGTGGTGGGTGCCTGTAGTCCCAGCTATTCCAGAGGCTGAGGCAGGAGAATGGCATGAATCCGGGAGGCGGAGTTTTCAGTGAGCCGAATCGCACCACTGCACTGCAGCCTGGGCAATAGAGCGAGACTCCGTCTCACCAAAAAAAAAAAAAAGAAAAAAAGACAACCCAGTAGAAGAAATGCAAACGATTAAGGAAAAAAAGAAAAGAAAAAATATTCAGCTTTATTCATGCAAGATAAAATATTTTCACCTTTTAGATTGGCAAAAACTACAAAATTTGATAATAGCTGGTATTAGTGAGGGTATGAGAAAACAAGCCCCCTCCAAGACAGTTGGTAGGAGTATAAATTGGTTCAGAAATCAGTTTGAAAGTGTTTATCAAAATTAAAAGTTTACATGTTCTTTGACTTAGCAGTTCCACTTCTAGAAATAATTCTACAGAGAAACTCATTCAAGTGCAAAAGAGTGTTTATTGCTAGTAAAAGCAAGAAGCCAGAAACAACCTAAAGCTCACAGTTGGAGATTCATAAGGTAAATACAGTGCATATATGTGCACTGATAAAAGAAAAATGAACAAGATGTAGAGGAGTAAGTTATCACTTGCTTTAAAAGATTGTGTGTGCTTGCATATGCATAGAACATTTATGGGAAGATACTGAAAAATGTTTAACAGTACGTCTAAGAAATAGAACAGAGGTCTTCAGGGAATGGGTGGTAAGGAAGAGAGACTGTACTCTTCATTATATATTTGTTCTTAGTGCATGTATGTATTTTTTTAACCATGTAAATAGTGTTTTTTAATTTTTTTTAAAACAGTATTTTAAAGTTTCTATAATGTAAATTTTTATTTGGTAAATCTAACAAATTACTTAATTCCATATCATGCCATCTCTAAAATCTTTTGGAAATTGCCTCCCGTCTGTCATGCTCATTAATAAAATAAGATTAAGAGTAGTAACCCTACTTACTTCAGAAAGTAGTTGTTTTTATTTATGGCATATGAAAGCAATTTGAGAACCATAAACTAATATGGAAATATGAGGCATTCTAAGGACAGAGATGAAAATGGAAGGATATAGGGGAGAATAAAGGAAAGAGGAAAAGCAGAAAGAAAAAGGAAAAAGTACTCAGTTGGGTTCTGGGAAAGAAGTCTAAGAACTTTTTGACATCCTGTCATTTATTTGACTGACTTGTTCCTCAAACCCAACTTGCACATTTCATGTTTTTTTATAGATTTTTTTCCTGTTTTATAGCTGTCAGTTATAGTGATTGGTATTTAATTTAAAAAAACCAAAGATATGAAAATTGTTTTATATTTTAATCTGCAAATAGCTCCATTAGGCAGATTTAATTATTTATAGATTTACTTACGGTGCTTCCAAATATCTTGTACCTCTTAATGTGACCATCAGAAAACTCGACTGAGAAACATTTGTACTACACAAAATACAAAATACTTTCAGTATATTATTGCAAGTGCTTCTTAAAAACATATTTTGTAGTACTTGTTAAATGTGTACTTTTTAATGTCTTGTTTAAATTGGAAAATTAACCAAATGTTATCCATTTAAACATGCTTTATAACATATTAAATGTGAGTGCTTAATAAGTACTTTTAATTATACTGGTTCTGGTGTTGGAACCCAGTCCTAGTCAAGAGTCTAAATCTTCATCTCTGTTTTTCAGACAAATGTAGTAGGACATTCTTTAGGATGTACTTGGCATTCCTTGAGGAATTCTCCTGGTGAAAAGATCAACTTACTGAAAAGAAGCCTCCTTAGTATTCCAAATACAGATTACATCCAGCTGCTTAGTGAAATTGCCAAGGAACAAGGTTTTAATATAACATATTTGGATATAGGTATGATTTTTTTTTCTTTGGCTTTCCCAAGACATGTTTATTTACAAATGTGTATGAGGAATGAAAATTTCTATTATAATTTATTTTATTGATCAGGGATTCTAAGTATATATAATTACTAGACCAGTTATATATATAATTGATACGTCCCATTCTTATACAAAAACAACAATAGCAAAGATAGAGTTTTACTATGTGCCAGGCATTGTTCTAAGATTACATGTATCTACTTACTGAATCCTCAGACTAACTCTATGAAGCAAATTCTGTTATCCTTATTTATAAGTGAAGAAACAAAGGCACAGAAAGGTTGAGAAACTTGCCCAAGATCACATAACTAGTCAGTGGTAGAGCAAGATTTGGGGAAGAGTCCCAGAAGATACCCTGGCTGTTAAACTAGCCCTGCTGGGCGGCTGGGCAAATGAAAAGGCACCTACATTTCTAGCACAAGTACCAAGTTTGTGGCGCCCAGACCCTTTCTCTCTACTTTGTCACTGTATGCTGATTCTGGGAGGTAAATGGAAACAAGTCAGTTTATAGTTTTATCCTTTCCCAGCCATCATCATCTGTATTTTCTCTAGCCCTTAATCATTTGGATAGACAAATATGGACAGATGGGAAAGCAAGTCAGTATGGATTTTCTTTTAATTCAATTTATAAAGCTAATTAGTTGTGTGTGTTTGGTGTCTTGATTTTGTTCTTTTTTTTCTTTTTTTGAGACAGAGTCTTGTTTCTGTTGCCCAGGCTGGAGTACAGTGGCACAATCTCAACTCACTGCAACCTCTGCCTCCCAGGTTCAAGCGATCCTTCTGCTTCAATCTCCCAAGAAGCTGGGATTACAGGCACCCACCACCACGCCTGGCTAATTTTTTTTTTTTTTCCCGAGATGCAGTCTTGATCTGTTGCCCAGGCTGGAGTGCAGTGGCGTGATCTCAGCTCACTGTAACCTCTGCCTCCCAGGTTCAAGCAATTCTCCTGCCTCAGCCTCCCAAGTAGCTGGGACTACAGGTGTGTGCCACCATGCCCAGCTAATTTTTGCATTTTTAGAAGAGACGGGGTTTCACCATGTTGGCCAGGCTGGTCTCAAACTCCTGACTTCATGATCCACCCACCTTGGCCTCCCAAAGTTTTTTTTAGTAGAGATGGGAGTTTCACCATGTTGGCCAAGCTGGTCTCAAACTCCTGACCTCAAGTGATCTACCCACCTCGGCCTCCCAAAGTGCTGGGATTATAGGTGTGAGCCACCGTGTGTGGCCAAAGTGACTTGATTTAACGTGTGAGAAATTTTATATCCCTATCCAACCACAGATGTGGGGACCTTGCTTGTCAGGGTCCCCTGACCCTGGGGAAGTAGGGCACTTAGGGGCTCAAAGAACTTCTGATATTCTCTGCTATTTTGGGATTGAAGGACGGGTCAAGTGCATTGTCTTAGTAAACCAATAATGATGCAGAACCTGAGAAGTCAGTGCAGACAGATGGTTAGAGAAGGTGGCTGATGAAAAATTAACCAGGTGTGGTGGCACATGCCTGTAGTCCAGGCTACTAGGGAGGCTGAGGTGGGGACAATGACTTGAGCCCCTGAGGTTGAGGCAGCAGTGAGCCATGATCATACAGCTGCTTTCCAGCCTGGGTGACAGAGTGAGACTTGTCTCAAAAGAAAAGAGGCCAGAGGCCGGGTGCAGTGGCTCATGCCTGTAATCCCGGCACTTTGGGAGGCCAAGGCAGGCGGATCACCTGAGGTCAGGAGTTTGAGACCAGTCTGACCAACATGGTGAAACCCCGTCTCTACTAAAAATACAAAAATTAGCCAGGCATGGTGGCGTGCACCTATAATCCCAGCTACTCGGGAGGCCCAGGTGGTGGGAGAATCACTTGAACCTGGGAGGCGGAGGTTGCAGTGAACCGAGATTGCACCACTGCACTCCAGCCTGGGTGATAGAGCAAGACTCT